GCACCGAGTTTTAGTAACCGTTATTTTTCTTTTTTCTTTGTCAGTGCTGTCTCCAAAAAGTAGGAAAATCTGTTTATTGTTCGTCTCAAAAACATGCAGTTGATTCTGTTTCCTAGGAGCTTCCGGAAGCAGTGATGCAAGTGCATCGTTCGATGGAGGACTGAGCCAGTTCAAGCAAGGCGAGTCATCAACAAAGTCGACTGATCAGTTCAGCTTGCCGTCGAAAACGAAATCCGTGGTTCTGCCTGAGATGGCTGAAAGCGGACTGGATTTGAGCACAGCAGCCAGAACATATCGGTCTGAAACAGATTCAACAACAACACGGTTAGCACTGCTTCCTATTTTGCATATATGTATACTGCCGGACAGTTGGTATGAGCGTCGCATCTCAGTGGTACTACTGGCTTGGCGCCGTATGTTGGAAGCAGTTGTGCCAGACTTTTTGCTACTGAACTGCTTTTCTCCAGTTAGTATCCAGTTTCTGTTCGATGTAAACGACCATCCGGGTGGCTTTCTGAAGAGGTATCGCCTCTTCAGAAAGCCACCCGAGTGGTCGTTTATTTTCTTCCAGTAATACTTGGAGTCCTTCGGTTAGAAGCAAAACAAGTAACATATCCTGCCCAACGAATCCCGTTTTCTCAAACAGGGTGGTTCTATTCCAGAGGGCTGAATAAATGAGCCACCGGAAGCTGTTTGCAGGTTTTTAGCTGCAAATGCAGTCATATTCAAAAAACAACATATCAGTTCCGAGCGTCTTTTAGATTGAAGCGTTCTCCGGCGATGATGTTGGTAGGCGGTGAAGAGCAGCAGCACGTGTCTTCTACCTCTTCTGTTACTGCAGAACTGACTTGCACAACATCTGGCTACCATGCTCCAACACCACTCTTTCAAGCAACAGCAAAGGAGGCCGGTTTAATCACTTTTAACATTTTCGTATGTGACACCTTGGTGTTGTGTCGTGATTGTGAACACATAAATTACCATGCAACATTTAAGAAAATTTGAAAACATTTGAATTACAAAAAACTGAAGTTGAAAGTAGTTGTTTTGCGGCAGCACATACTTCTTGGCCATGTATATCGCGTGTAGCTGTTGCTCAAACTAATTTTATGCTTCCATTTCAAGTGACCAAGTCCCACTTTGCTTTTTTGTTTTGTTTTCTTGCAGCTATAGAGTTTTTATCTTACAGTGGAACCATCTGCAAACAGATTTGTTTATCAAAACTGAAACTTCAGTTTTACATTTAGCAGACTCTGATACTGGACCCTAACTAAAAACGCAGGCTCTAAAAAAACGTTTTTAGAATGCATAAGGTTGGAGGTTTTGAAATTTAAAATTGAAAGTCATAAAAATTCACTTCCTTAGTTTTTTTAGCTCATGGAGCAAGCTGTTTAGACACAGTGATGCGATTTTTCCGTTATGCGATCAGGACCCTAAAAGTTCATCCTTTTTATGCGTTTTTGCTGTGCAGCGCTATAGCAGCGCTGCACAGCAAAAACGCATAAAAAGGATGAACTATAGCGCTGCTACAGCCAGCAAAAACGCATATTGTCGAGAGGCTGTCTGTGTGTGTGTGTGTG